GTCTCCAGTCCATCATAGGGACACCTGGACATGTCTCCAGTCCATCACAGGGACACATAGAGACAAACAACCATTCACTTTCTCTCTCACCTAGAGACAATTTAGAGTTACCAATCAGTCTAACATGCATGTTTTTGGTCTGTGGGAGGAAATGGGAGTACCCGGAGAAAACCCACGCAGCATGGAGAGAACATGCAAGCTCCACCCAGAAAGGTCCCCGGCTGGGATTTGAACCTGGGTGACCTGCTCGCTGAGAGGCAGCAGCTCTACCAACTGCACCACCGTGCTGCCCAGTATATAGAAATTATTATTTTTAAATAATCCAAGTTATAAATAGATATAAGCGGCTGTGGCTGAGTGGTTAGAGCAGTTGTCCTCCAGTGCAAGAGTTGGGGGTTCAATTCCACCAGCAGTCACATGCCGAAGTGTCCCTGGGCAAGACACTGAACCCCTCATTGCCTCCAATGTGTGTCCCATCAGTGTATGAATGTGATAAAGCTCTGATTAGTCTTTGTATAGATCTAATAGATCTAGTATAGAGCTGTATGAATGGGTAGATGAGGCACAGATTGTTGTAAAGAGCTTTGAGTGTCTTGATAAGATATAAAGGTGATATATAAGTGCAGTCAATTTAATAAAATAATTATCTTCCCTTTCTTTCTTTGTGCAGGAGCACTTCTGGAGTTTGGATAAAGCCGAGACCAAACTGGTGCCTAAGCTGACCATCCAGATCTGGGACAACGACAAGTTCTCCTTTGACGACTACCTGGGTAAGACCAAGCACTGGTCATGATGCAGAGCCTTGAGTTGGGAAGGCTTCCATCTTTGTTGTGACGCACTTGTCCTAAATAAGATCAGTTTGGTTTCAGGATGCACCAGAGTTACTGACACAGTGAAAAAGCTAAACATTTGGCCTTGTAGTGAAATAAAATAATGTATTAGTGCCTTTCGAGGGCAGGCAGACACTTTAAGTCATTCTGGTCTGACATTTAGACAGATTTTTCCTGTATTCTGGCCAAGGATTAGGGGTGTAAACCTATCCCAGAAACCATATGTGCAACGTTCGAACAACTACTGCGATAACATTTATCTTTAGAATTAACACTCTCTCATTTCCACTGCGTCGGCACATTTCGCCGAGAGGAGGAGGCCGACTTTATTTTGTCTTCCCGAAACTCAAGCTGTCAAAATTTCTCCTCTCCTTCACCCCTGACTTTGCCCCAACCTCGTGCCTTGAAATAACTCTCCGCCTGAGCCTCGGTTCAGTTTTCCCCGCTCCGCCTGAGGAGGGAGGCCGGCGGTTTGTGGGCTGAGCGTCCCTCTGCGGTGCGATACGAGCAGGAAGATGAGGAATCCAGATCCCGACCTGTTGCTGTCTGTCACCGTCTCGCTCCGCTGCAGCGCTTTCTCTCCGCCGTGTCGATCCGCCTCGCGCCGGCTGCGGGTGTGTGGCCACCTCAAAGCATTTTTTCCGCGCCTGCCTGTCTTCAGCTCGCCGGCTCGGACCGCCGACCGTTAATCTTCCTGCACGGTGTGAGGGTCAGACACAAGTCATTTTCTTACAGCCGTGCTTTAAAGCTGCACCGAACTCTGGAAAAGCACTTTCAGCGGACGTCTAGTCTTTCTGCAGCCCTTCGTACTTAATGTCAACAGAGATGAAAACTTTACTAACCAACCTTCATCACAGGACCATCCATAACTCACGCAGATATTACTCAGGAGGCGACCCTTCAAAGTAAGAGTAGATAAAAGCTGATTCTGCAGACCTGTTCCCCAACATGCTCCTCTACTAAACTGAAGACGAGTTGTTGAGCTACAACAATCTACTTCCTGTCTGCTGAGCGCACGCAGGTGAAATAAAGACTCACGTTAAGTTTTAATTTTAACGTCAGGCAGAATTAAACACAGCTGGGCTCAGGTTTTCTGGAAGAAATAATCTGTGTGAATCCACCAAAGTTAAGTCGGGTCCTCTGGACGGTTTCTTTGTGTTGAAACGTTTCGTCCTTCATCCAAAGGACTTCATCAGTCCGAGGATTCGAGGAGCCACAGCAAACTCAGTCTTATAAATAGCACCTTCACATAGTGGGTCAACCAGTTTGATGGTTTCTGGAGTCCACCCTCTCCCCCGTCGACTCGTCTGAGGCAGTCCTGGCCAAAGTGGTTCAAAACATCAAAGTTCATGCGCAATAATCCAGGTAGATCTACGCTCTCCACGATCTTCACAACTCTTTAGATTGTGTCTCAATGATGAATATTGAGGAAAACCTCCTTTAGTGTTGAGGAACTCGTGGCGTTGCTGCTGCTACGTGGGTATAAAGGAGACACGACCCGCTTCAGACTCTTGTTGACCGAAGCAGATTGAAGCATGCCGGTGTACCTTGGAGCTGCAGCTGTCTTGAGGATAAACCACCACTAGAATTAGAATAAGCTTTATTACCATTGCACCGAGATACAATGAGAACATGTACATACAGCCGTCCAAAAGATGGGCGGAGTGCACGAAGCTGCTGCTATAAAGTGCGGCCTTCTTATTCTTATTCAGATTAATATTTTTAGATAGAAAAAGGGACAAAGCCATGAGGAGAGGGTAGTGGCATTACAAAAAAGATCTCGTCATACCTCGTCCTTACAGGACAAGATTTAAGACATTAAAAAACTCTGCCAGCTAAAGTGCATTTATGAACACGTTGCATATGCATTTGACGACGAGGCGGTCCATGAAGCACTAACAGATAATCCATTATTCTGATTAGGTGATGGTCAGCTGGCACAGTTCTAATAAGACTCCACAGAAGGTGGTGGGGGGGAGGGGGTTTTGATAGACAAAGCTTTTCCTCAGTTTACACATTTCCCAGGAGAAATTGATAAGTCGGCCTGTTCCGAGGTCAACCGGGGAGTCACATTCAGATAGCCACAATTGTTGATTTATTCAGGCAGACTATTTTCTGTCAGCCTTGAGTCTGTATTGATACTTCCAAGGTTTGAAATGGCCAGATTATAGTGCATTCTACTGGTCCGTGCTTACGAGCCTCTTCAAGGTCGTTTTCATGCTGACGATGATGGCATGCGATTCAAATCACTTCCAACTTACGGTTTAGTTTGTAAATCAGCTGATTTTGAGTCCTCCAGCACAAACCAGACCTTCACATGGACAGCAGCCCGTCGAGGTCCAAATTAGCTGCGGCCGTCTTCTTTGTATGTTGATAAACAGGATCCAGACTATTCCAAACACAGGAAACTTGTTATCATGAATCCAATTATCGGCAATTTCAGCATCCTAGCTCGATAGCAGAGGTAGACACATCCCCCCCCCCAGAGATATATCCAGCTGCATGCGTCTCGTCCGAGCAGATGAGGGTTCTCCAGGACCCTGTCGCTTTGTTGAAAATAATTTGTAATATACGTCGAAAGTCCAGTTGGTCAGATCCAAAACAGTAGTTTCCAATTCGGGAGATGTGTAAAAAATATGAGCTGCTCCGATACAGACAGAGAGCAGAAAAAGCAGGAGGAGAACAGGGAGCGGGAAGGAACGCTGCGCCTCATTAGAGAGCTAGTGAAGAAACCTTGCTACTGAAGTTTGGCGCATCCTCAAAACCATTGGACCTATCTCACTTTGTCACTCATGGAAATGGAAGATCGCTTTGTTCTTAAGATGCCGCTGACAAGCCTGCAAAGACCACGCGAACCCCTCCACGAGTCTTTGACATTGTAGCAAGGTCATCATTGAGTGCTTTTGAAATTGATCATTTTAAAAGGATAATACTAACAATTAATGGAAAACAGCAACTCCACAATCTGATCTCACGTGCTATAAATGTGTCCTTAGGCCACCTGGTGATGGACCTGAACCACATGCTGCGTCCAGCCAAGTCTCCAGAGAAATGCACCCTTCAGCTTCTGGACCAGCCGGCGGACAAACTGGTGTCTCTGTTTGAGCAAAAGACGGTAAAAGGATGGTGGCCCTGCACCTGCAACATGAACGGCGAGAAGATCATTGCTGTAAGAACATGAACACACAGATGCTGGGGGGGGGTTGGTCTGGAATCAAAGAAGTCCAAAACGGTGGTGAGGTTGAGCTGGAAGAGTACTTAGTGCGAAATGACTGTTTTGTTGTCTGTTTCAGGGGAAAGTGGAAATGTCTCTGGAGATCGTGACGGAGCAGGAGCAGGAGGAAAGACCAGCCGGCCTCGGCAGAGACGAGCCCAACATGAACCCTCACCTGGAGGAACCTCAGTGAGTCACGCAAACACTAAAATACACAAAGAACACAAACGTACTGTTTCCTCGTTCTCTCCCTGTCCCCTCCAGGCGACCGGAGACGTCCTTCCTGTGGTTTTCTTCTCCCTACAAAACCCTCAGGTTCATTGTGTGGAGACGGTTCAAGTGGCTCATCGTCCTCTTCATCGTCCTCTTCTTCGTCGTCCTCTTTCTGGGTGTCTTCCTCTACGCCTTCCCGGTAAGTCCAAGTAATTCAAATGTCAAGTTCAACACAACTGGACACGAGCGCCACGTTTATGTAGCTACAGTCGTGCACGTTACTTCATCAACACAGTGTTTCCCCAGTTCACTTGTCAGGGCGCTCGTATCTTCTGTGATTTTTGTTGACGGGGGGACGGAGACACGTCTGTGTTGTGCGCCGTTTGTACTGACAGCTTGCGAGTGGGGTGGGGTTGGAGACGGCTCAGCGTGAGTGGAGACGGAGCGCTACCTCCGTAGTCATCGCTTCTTAGCTAGCTTAGCGCTACAGTGCCGGCACTTGTCAACGGTGTAGGCAGGGCGCTCGGTTCTGTTGACAGGGTGGGGCGCCCTGCTTTTATAAAGGTAGGGGGAACACTGTAACACATGAAGTCTTTGGAAAAACTGAAAACAAATTGAGATTTTTATTTTTTATTTTAATTCATGCAGCTACGGCTCAAAACGACATCGACTTGAATAATCTGAACTATTTTTTCAATGTCATGTAAAAGCTGATGCAAGTGGCTCATTATGGTCACCATGGTAACCACTCACCTGTCTGTCACTTTGACTGCACTCTTAGGAAAGACAGGCAGAAATAGACTAAAAAGTAAGTCTCAAACAATAAGTCACTGTGCAAAGACCAAAATATATTTTTTAAAACCTCTTCAAAAGAATTTTCACTCGTTTCTTCCAAATTTCTCGAAGTTTTGTCAGATTTTGTTCACGTTGTAAGACGTACCTCGACCAGAAGCCGAAGGCCTCTGTTCCTGACCGAGCTGCACGTTTTTCTTCAGAGCTGAAGAGACGAAAATCGTGATTGAAATAGAACATTATCGTAATTAGAGAAATTGCATTTCCTGTGAAAATGCAGTGTGAATGCTTATTGCAGAAGAACTTGCTGAAAAACAGCTGAAGTTGGCTAAAGAACATGCTGAAATGTAGCTGAAATTGACGAACAAGCCTAAACTAGCAGAAGAAATCACAGAGAACACATATTTGCTGAATTAGGTTTAAATTAGCAGAAATTAGCACAAAAAATAGGAAGTTAACTAAATAAGCTGAAATTTGCAACAACAAAAAAAAGCTGAAAAGTAGCCGAAAAGGCAGAAAGAAGCTTAAACTACCAGAAGGAAGTGGAAAGAACTAAAATGAGCTAAAAAAATAATTAAAAAAAAAGTGGAATTATTTGAAATAACCAAAATTAGCATTAAAAAGCTAAATAGTAACTGAAAGTGTAGAAAAAGCTGAAACTAGCAGAAAAATGCTGAAAGGTGCATAAAGAAGTTAATTAGGCTGAAAGTAGCAAAAATTACCATGAAAAAGTTGAATTGATCTGAAAACAGATATCAGACAGCAAGTGAAAAAAGCTGAAATCAGCCCAAAAAAAAGCTGAAAAGTAGCTAAAAAAGTAGTAAGAAACTTAAGTTACCAGAAGGAAGTGGAGAGAGCAAAATTTAGCTGAATTAAGATGAAAAAAGTTGAAATGAGTGCAAAAAATGTGGAATTAGCAGAAAAAGCTGAAACGGGCATAAAACAGCTAAATAGTAGCTGAAATTGCAGAAAAAGTTTAAACGTATAAATAAGCTGAAAGAAGCAGAAAGAAGTTAGAAGCACAAAAATGTTGTAGTTAGCAGAAAGAATCTGAAAGTAGCACAAAACAGCTGAAATTAGCTGAAAGTAGCTGAAAAGGTTTAAATTAGCAGAAAGCAGCTGAAGCAGGACAAAATGTTTAAGGAGCAGTAAAAGGTTGTAACAGATCTAAAGATTTGAAGGATGTAAAATGAGCTCAATTCATTTTCTATGAGGGGAAAATGTCAGAAAAGGCTAAATATTTCAAAAAGCTAAAGTTGCACCAACACCAAAAGTCACAGCAGGGTTGTCCTGAAAGAGCCGAACGTTTTAATTTATGATTTGTTGAAATAGATGAAAACTGTGGAACAAGAAAGATGCTGAAAACGTATGGAAGACAAATGGATCATAATATAGTATAAACATGAGGGTGATTAGAAGTTCGACCTTCATAAGTGACGTGAAGGTCAGGGATAGTTAAATAAATTAAACTGTGGAACATGAAAAAATAACCTCCGGCGTCTTGTTTTTATTTTACAGAACTACGCTGCCATGAAGATGGTTGGACCGTTTGGACCAGCCAAGTCTAACGAGTGATGAAGAAGGAAGAAGTGATGGAGGCTTTGGACTCTGTTTTCTTCAGATCCGGTCGGACGTTTGGGTCTTTCATGCTGGAAAAACGTTTCAGAGTTCAGCGCATGCATCCTCCGTCCTCAGAAAAACTCGTCCACATGATAATCTGCAGTTTTTAAACTTTAATGTTTAAAATAAAATAAACGTTTTTCTATAATTATCCTGCTAAAATGAACATTTAGGTTGTTTCACAAATTTAATCTCAGCTCTTAGTTTGTGACGCACGACGCATTCAGGGACTGTGGGATTTCGCACTACATTAGACACTTTCTACTAATTCTTCACCTCATTAGTTTTAAGTTTCTCAAACCAATAAAATTTATTAATTGTACTTTTTTTCCACATAAATTTTATGAGGACGTGTTTTTATTTTATTTGAAATCAGTTAGAAGAAAACGATGAAACAAAATGTTAGTGAGCAAAGTTAGTGTTTAGTTTTTGATTGTTTAAAATTTAATCAGATATTTTTAGGTTGAAATAGTTTTTTCAGCCAACAAAATATACGTGTTAGTTTATTTTTGCAGTTTCTCTCGTCGCGCTCCTCCTGTCGCTTCTTCTGTCGTTTCTGATCCGGTTCTAAGACGAAGTAAAACTCACAGTTCGAGCCAAGAAAACAAACTCCAGCTGAGATTTTTAGCATGAACTGATGAATAAAATGATCAAAACTCCAGTAAAACCAGTATAACTCTCGAGCATCTTTAACACAATCTCTCCTTTTATTTATCGTGTCGCTTGATAAGAGTTCAGCTGCCGTCGCCCGGGGAACGCTTCATAAAAAACGATCTGCAGTCGGGACTTCCTGTAAATAAATAAAAACTTTAGAAAAACAATAAAAGAACTAAAAACGTGGCAGATAATTTAAAGTGAAGCTTTTTGTTCGAAGGTTTTCAAACTAACTACGCTGCTGAAAAAAAAGGACTTCTTCAGACGTCCTGCTGAGCCTCTGCAGCTGTTTCTGCACGACTTTATTCTGGTCATTGAACGCATCGTGCCTTCAGCTTCACTGCACGGCAGTCAGAAACGCAGACTGCTGCCTCGACGTGGAGGAAACAAAGTTCACGTGTGGGAATATTTTCTGTTCCAGTGGAGAAGCAGAAGATCAGAGGAGGAACTCGTCTGGACTTTGTGGAAACGAGTTTTTCTGTCAAAGACTGAACATGAGCTGCGGTGTCACCAATAAAACAGTTTCTGATCAAACGGAGAACTTCTGTGTCGTGTATTTAACCCTCCTGCTGCCCTGGGGTCAAACTGACTGAGGCCTCGTGGGTCATTTTGACTTGAGGGCAGCAGGAGGGTGAACATCAACATCCGGTACATGGTACAGCAACAAGAAGAACAAAAACATTGTTTTATTTTTGTTACTAGAAGAGTCAAACTGAAGTTTATTGAAAATATTTTTACTTTATTGTTACTTTCAAAAGCTGTGGATTCAGATTACCTGTAAACACACCTGGACCAAGGTCGCAACTGGGACCTTGAGTACACAGTTTTGTTCAACCTCAGTTACCAGATGTGATGTGAAAGACAATAAAGAACCTTGAACGGGATAAATAGCTGAACAACTGAAGAAACACGTTGGAGCTCGATGGAGCTCATTGGAGCCTGTTGGAGCTCGATGGATCCTGTTGGAGCTCGTTAGAGCCCATTGGAGCTCGTTAGAGCCCATTGGAGCTTGATGGATCCCGTTAGAGTTCGATAGAGCCCGATGGAGCTCGATGGAGCTTGTTGGAGCCCGATGGCACTCATTAGAACCAGTTGGAACTCGATAGAGCCCGTTGGAGCTCGTTAGAGCCCATTGGAGCTCGATGGATCCTGTTAGTGCTCGATAGAGCCTGTTGGAGCTCAGTGGAGCTCAGTGGAGCTCAGTAGAGCCTGTTGGAGCTCAGTGGAGCT